CATAACTTAATTTGTTATTAAAATTATTAATTGAAACATCGTTTATTTCCCATATATAGTAGTAGCTATCTTTAGGTTTTTGTTTAAATATATTGTGTATTATTAGGTTCTGGGCATCATGATCAGAAAGACCATTTATGATGGGACATACAGTAAAATTAGTAAACTTGTATGTATTAATGAAAATATTATCAATTAAAGAATAAGAATCATTTTGGAATCTAGTAGGAAATTGGATTATACTATATAGTCCATGAGAGGCTAGTATTGAGTTTAGCTGCTGTTTGTGGGGAGAATCTTCGAGATAGTTGATGTTGAAGTCACCACATATTATTATATCCTTGGTGTGTGCAAAAATCATATTTAAAAGTTCGTCAAGGTTTTGAAAAAAATGCTGAAAGTTACCAGAAGGAGCTCTATAGATGGTAATAACACATACATGGTAATAACTGTACACTAGACAGCTCATTACCTTTAACCCATTTCATGCACATGCATTATCCAATGAAAATTCAAGAATTTCAATTTGCAAAAAAAGTCACTCAAAAGTGAGTGTTCACACAGGACCTCCTTACTCTAGTTAGCTAAACTCACCACCGTCATCATCATCACTGTAATTCTCCAGTGTGATGCCATCAAACTCCTGCCAACACTGAGTAAAAATCTTTAAGAAGCCTCTCAACTGCTTCCTTTATACTAAACTGCTCTAACCACCACAAAGTGCAAGGCAAACTGTTAAATTTCACTTGGGTGGGGCGCATTCCCCATTGCAGTTCTTCCTACACAGAAATGTGCCATTGGCACTATACCCTGACACCTTATGTAACAAGTGAACAGTATAACATTCATCTGTGGTGTAGCAAAACCTGACCTGGAAATTTGGCTGGTGTGGGATGGGCTGGCCACTGCCTGTACTATTGAAGCTTAAATAATTCCTCTTGCAAATAATGTTTACTTGACTGCAAACTATTATTTCATACTGTCTGCACTTATTCATGCTATTATTAACAGCAGAGAGCTTAATTATTCATATTTCTTTTATATTTCTACCACAAAGAAAAACACACAAACTTTAATTGAGCTAGTAGGGAGGTTGGTATAGAAGTAAACACAGAGAAAACTAAGTATATGTTGCTGTCTCGTCACCAGAATGCAGGGCAAAATCATGACATGAAGACCGGTAACAGATGTTTTGAAAGTGTGGCAGAAAATGTGATACAGTTCAGATTTTTTGGAATGATTGTAACAAATCAAAACCTGATTTCAGGAGAAAATTAAGAGGAGATTGAATTCAGGTAATGCTTGCCACTACTGAGTCCAGAATCTTATACCTTCTTGTTTGCTGTCTAAAGACATAAACCTCAGAATATACAAAATTATAATTTTGCCTGTGGTTCTGTATGGGTGTGAAACTTGGTCTCTGACATTAAGGGAGGAATACAGACTTAGGGTGTTTGAGAACAGGGTGTTGAGAATATTTGCACCAAAGAGGGATGAAGTGACAGAATGTTGGAGAAAACTGCATACGAGAAGCTTCATAACTTGTACTCTCTCAAAGTATAATTAGAATGATCCAAGTCAAGGAGGATGAGATGGGCAGGGCATGTATCAGGTATGGGAAGAAACGGAATACATATAGGATACTGGTAGGAAAGCAAAAAGGAAAGAGACCATCAGGAAGACCAAGATGAAGGTTGGTGGACAATATTAAAATAGATCTTAAGAGGTGGGATGGTATGGTAGGGATTGGATTGATCTGGCTCAGGATAGGGACCAGTGGAGGGCTCTTGTGAACACGGTAATGAACCTTCGGGTTCCATAAAATTCTGGGAAGTTCTGAGCAACTGCATAACTGGTGATTTCTCAAAAAGGGCTCAGGTCCATGAGTGAGTGAGTAATGTACCCTACACCTTCCTCTCCAGCTAACACCAGCCATATTTCGCAAAAATGGCAAAAAATCAAATCGCATCCTTTCAATCATGTGAACCAACAGTTATATCCATCAATACCCTGGTGAGTTATGGGTCACTTTGGGAGGGTACTCTATGCCTTGGGCTCCACTAATCTTCTATTTCTCCCACTAGCAAGCATCACCTACCAGTCCAGGGCATCCAGAGTTCCTGAGTTCTGTTTGCAGCAACTGTCATGATCAGTCATGATTTTGCCCTGCATTCTGGTGATGAGACAGCTACATATACTGCATTTACTTTACGTTTACTTGTAGACCAACGATTTTTAAACTGTGTCAAAATATATAAGATTGGTAAATAGGCAATTATTTGAGTCAAGTTTAAATCCAACTCCTGAAATAAAGGCAAAGTTAACTTGCAACACAACCATATTTCATTTTATTACCTGTAGAGTGGTATGAGATAATATTGTATTAATCATCCTGTTGCATTAATATATCGTTTGTTATGGACAATATATTTCCGTCAACAATGCAACTATTTCTGTCACTCCTCTTCACGACGTTCTGGTCGCAAACGGCCATCATCAGTCGTCGCAGCTATGACAAAACTGTTCCACCGTATAAGATGTCCGCTTTTTCACATCACGTGTAAATGCAACATTTCATATTTTAAATAAAATGGTGTTAAAATCGATAACACAGTTATTATTACTTAAAATTCCATATGCTTTCTAATTTTAATTTAACTTCTCTTACGCAGTGCCTTAGCACTGGGTCTGCTCCGGTCTGCTGCACCAAACCCTATGATAATATGGGCCAGTTTGGAGCGTTTGGAGCATTCGTGGAATGATGGCTGGCAGTAGAAAACGGTAACAATTATCTGGCTATTGTGGGTTAGTTCAGTTCTGCTGTAAACTTCTGTAGTTCATTCCAAGCAACTCCAATTGAAAGATCATGCTCGTTAACAACGCGGTAAAGGCAATTGCCTAGAAATGAGTTTTCTGGGAAATATACTAGAGTTATACACCGTTACACACCAATATCACTGATTTCAAATAACTACTGAATCCAACTAACGTGAACCGAACCATCTAGTAGCGTCTAGTAGTGTTTACGACGTTAGTCCAGTGAAATGATGGTACACTAACACTCTGTTCCACATTGTAAAAATGTACTTATCCCGCACTATATTTATAATGGCTGCGCGTGTAAATTTTCAGTGCCATCTACATGTGAAGGGAAATCTCTTTCGGTATAGTCTCCGGCATCGGTAGCTAAGTCTATATCCAACATCCCTTCCTTTACCACATTTTATTACGTACGGTGTTCTGTGGTCGTCTTTCACGCGGGTAAGGCGGTTGAAGGGGGGAAACTGATAACTATTTTCCATCAAATTCTACGATTAGCAATCTACAGTGCAATATCTCCCCTTCCCGATGCCGTGGATTTAAACACAGGTGCAGCTTTAACTTTATTTTGCAACAGATTATAATTCTGTTGGGTGGGGGCCAAACTGCAGATATGATTTTGTTCTCCCTAAACCAAATTAAACTAGACCACAAATTAGTATTGTATGATCAAAAGGTGCCATTTATCTTAGAATGGTTATGGATGCATATTCTGCCAACTGTAACTGAATACCTACTCATCTTTAAGGCATAAAAGAAAGTGATTACATTTGAATATGCATGTGTATATTCTTGGGGTTTTCTCAGCCATAGGAAATAGTATTGTAGCATGTACAGCTATTGATATTCAATAGGTGTATAAACAACTGTATTATGTAACCAGTTTCTAGGCAAGGGATTGATAAACATGTTCCTGCGGCAAAGAAAACAAATACAACAATAGTGTTCCTGTTGGAAATGATGTTTTCTGCTTGGTCCATGCAGAGTGGTTATATGGACGACAACTGGGGAAACCCAGTTTGTTGTTAGTTGAGAGTTCAGTCATGCTTGGGAGGCTGTGAAGATAGAACCTGAGCTTGGGAAGCTGAACTATCTCCATTCCATTGCTAGGGAAAAAAGCTTAGGAGGTGCTGTGGTGATTTGTAAAGTGCTGAGATTAGCGGTAGCACTGTAATTGTAGTTCCGAGTGGTGCGTATAAATAGTGAATAAACTCATTCACCAATCAATACCTCACTTATAGGCACTCATATATGTCACAGTATGTTGTACTGGGACCCACTTCCTTTCTTGAAACATGTGACTAAAAATGTAAGCAATATTATATTATTATAATTATTGTTCATTTTTCTAAAAGCATTGTGTTGAACAGGTAAAGGTAAAGTTACCTCTGTAACAGGCTGTGAAGGATCATAGGGTTGTGGGTCGTTGAGGCTCTCACATGATCTAGACAGTAGGCTCGCAGATGGTAGTAAGGTTGTCAGCCTTAAATGCAGGCCACCATTTACCCCCCAGGAAAATTCCTGGTCTCATTTCTGTTAGAGGCTGAATTGACCCCAGGGCCATAGTGTGGCTGGAAGGATTAGGTAAATTGAAAAATTCCAGTGACCTCAACAGAACTTGAACCATTGTGTTGAATATGAGTCTGAATTTGAAAAATGTACAATCCAGATTGAGTTATGCTGGTTTCCTTCATTTTCGCCTTAAATTATTAAAACTATGCGAGGATGAGGTTCTCATGGCAATGACTCTGTCTTTTGGAATGTGACACAGAGCAGAGTGGTAGGTAGTGACCAACATTTAGGATGAACCTGCCACCTCCATTTACCAGACTACACAGCGTCATGTCCAAGAAGACAGTAATTTTTTATTCTTACCAATTTCCTAAGTCTAACATGTAGACACAAGATACTGTTGTGAACACAATGATGTAATTTCTGGTTCTATAGAAGGTAGTGAACCTCTTGACTAGTTGAGTGACTATTATCTTCTCAAGAAGGATTTTTCTGCATGGAATTTGGAAATTGAATATGTTATTGTTTGTTGGCCTCAAAAATCAGAAATTCTATTATGATTCAGAATTGTAAATTTAATTATTTAGTTTTAACATTATAATACAAGTAAACATGATCATTTAGAACAGGCATGTCCAACGCATCGATCGCGATCGACCGGTCGATCGTGGAACAATTTTTGGTCGATCTCATAAGCCTATAAGGAAATTATACATGAAAAGCATGTAAATTCACTTGTAATATAATATGGTTATGTTCACATTTTTAAGAGAAAATACGTGTTAAAGTAGTCTGTAGTTTTAATGTATGTTGCTTTTACAACAAACATCATGTGTCGTGTTATTTTTACCAATATTTTTGCTTAAAGTGAGATATGATGATAGGAGGGGGTGGTAGATCACTGGCAGATTTGATACTAAAAAGTCGATCACAACATGTTTGAAGTTGGACATGCCTGATTTAGAATATTGCCTTTAATATTGCATATACTTATACTAAATTCTTTACATGTGTGTACATTCATTGTTTCTACTGCATGATATTCTTACAACTAACTAACTAACTAAATACGTGGAGCAGAATCCTTCTTGGGAAACCAATAGTTGCTGAACCATCCAAGAAGTTCCAACAATTTCACAGAACCCAAAGGTTTGTTACTCTGTTCCTAAGAGCCAGCCACTAGTCTCTATCCTGAGCCACATGAATGAGTCCTCTCCATACCCATCCATTATATTTCTTTAAGAATCTCTTTAATAACTCCAGGTTTTCTTACCAAAATTTGGAATGTATTTCTTCTCTCTCCCATGTGAACAATATGACCTGCAGTCTCAGTCTCTTCAGTTTGATCATCTTGACATTATTTACTGAGCAAGATGGCTAAGACAGTAACATATTCTAGTCATTTTGCACACACACACACACACACACAAATATATACCATCAACACAACAAATACCCAGTTTTAATTTCGATCTTTATAGCTGATACATGTTTCGGTCATACAAGACCATCAGGCAGTTATACACAGGAATACGTATAGTCACTGAAATACCAATATGGATCCTTATCAGTGCAATGTGTCGTATTATATACTAACATAAATCTTTTGCTTCAAGTTGATGTAACAAATACATAAATAAGATAAAAGATAAATATAAAAGTATATCATATATCAAAATTTATAATGTGTTGCATATATTATTAAAAATATATTAAAAATGTTTAAAAAATATTAAATGATTTCTGACAGTAGGTTAAGAATGTGTGTGCCAACTTAAATGTGTACAGCTGCCTGATGATGGTCTTATATGACCAAAATATGTAGCAGCAATACAAATGGAAATTAAAACTGAGTATTTGTTGTGTTGACAGTAGACATAATTCATATATATGTGTGTGTGTGTGTGTGTATGTCCCTAAGGGATAGGCCATAAAATCTGGCCCTTGCATTGCGACCTTCAATGACCTATTGAGCTTCCCCTTTGGTTTAACCCTTTATTAATCCTGCACTTCGAAAGAAATGTAGGACTTTATTTATGGGGCACTATAAAAGTCACTTGGTTCCATGAAGAACTGACCCAGGTGACAAAACTTTAATAAGCTATGGCCTCACAATCAAATAGGAAGTGTGTGGCTGATTCATCTTCTTGTAGGCACCTTTCACAAGTTGGGTCATCTGTCAGTCCCAGTTTGAAAAGGTGCCCTTTTAGGTGGCAGTGTCCAGTAAGTAATCCTACCACCCATCGTAGTTGAGCTCTGTTTAATTTTAACAGGTCCTTCTTTCTTCTGGCAGAGGGTCCTGATATAAATCCTTTTGCCTATTTGAGTGCAATTATGAATTCCCAGTGTTTTCTGTGATTTCTATCTGTTCAGTACCTGATCGCTTTCTTGGCAACTTGAGATGCCGCAAGCTGGTTCAGGTCCTATGAACAGCTGTTCAGCTCCTGTTCTTGCCAGCCGATCTGCGGTTTCATTCCCAGCAATACCCTAATGACCTGGCACCCATATCAGCTGAACTCTTTTATGTTTGGCCATATACATATCTAACACACAACAGGATGCAACCAATGAAGATAGTCCTTTTGTGGTTGAAATTGCTGTTGCGAAGTTGAAAAACTATAAATCATCAGGTATTGATCAAATGCTGACAGAACTGATTGAAGCAGGAGGTGAAAAACTATTTTCTGAGGCCCATAAACTCATTAATTCTATTTAGAAAAAGGAAAATTTTCCTTCTTGTACCAGTTTACAAGAAAGGCAATAAAACTGACTTTGGTAATTGTTGAGGCATATCACTGTTATCAGTTTCATAAAAAACTGTATCCACTATCATTCTCTCAAGGTGAAATTCATGCAGAGACAAAATTATGTGAGAACACAACCATGAGTTTTGTTATAACAAATCATATGTTTATTGTTCTTCAGATACTTGTATTGGGAAGAAAATGGGAGCATAATGAAAGAGTAAAAAGCTATTCATATACTTCAAGAAAACCTATGATTCGGTTAAGAGAGAAGTACTCTAGAATATTCTCATTGAGTCTGGGGTGCATGTGAAACTAGTTAGGCTGACTAAAATGTGTTCAAATGAAACCTATAGTAAAGTTCATAGATGTAAACATTTGTCTGGTTGTTTTCCATCCAAAATGGCCTAAAACAAGGAGATGCTTTATACCCCTTTCCTTTGAACTTTTTGTTTTAGAATGTTCAATTAGAATTCCACTAAAACGTAAGCCTGAAATTAACTGGGATATATCAGCTTCTGGTATATAGTGATGGTGTATACCTGTTGGGAGATAACATAAATACCTAAAATAAAAACACAGAAGCTATAATTTTACATAGTAAGCAAAACGCAGGACAAAATCATAACATAAAGATAGCTGATAGAGCCTTAAAACATGTGACAAAGTTAAGATATTTGGGAATGAGAGTGAAAATCGAAATTTGATTCATGAGGAAATAAAGAGTAGGTTTAACTCGGGTAGTGCTTGCTACAATTCTTTTTCAGAACCTGTTGTCTTCTCGCCTAAAAACAAAGAAAAAGAAAAATATGTATTGTAGCGTGTCTTGTGTGTCACGCTACAAATGAGTTCACGCCGTTCTTTGATATAGCGAATTTATTTCTTTCGCTCGTTTACACACACTTTACAAACATCTGCACCTGCAGTGCTACAATCACTGCTCACAATAACTCGGCGATGCTGGACTGGCTTCTCTGGCGGTTATCCCAAGACTGATCCCT